AATGTCCTAGTCATGCAGTCTGCTTTTGCAAACATTTGTTAAAGAATGGCTCATTCTAAAGATATCACTGAATTAGTGTGGTACTGTAATAGGATGTCACTATTTCAACAAGTCAATTTGTGAAATTTCCTCCTCTCTGGATATTCTGCAATCAACTGTAAGTTGTATAAGTGCAAAGTGAAAGTGTTTAAGAATCACAGCAGCTAAGTCATGTGAAGATGGAGAGCAGATTGCTGAATGTGGAGTGCATAAAACGCTCTGCTGATTCACTAACTTCAGAGATTAAACCTCCTCTGGCGTTAACATCAGCACAAAACCCTTGCACTGGGAGCTTTGTTGCCCAGAAGCTGCTGTAGGTTTACTGTTTTGGTGGAACAGCACTTTTGTCCATATAGTGTATTGTTGTTTTGGGGGGTTTTGTTTGTTTTTTAAACATGTGGACAAGTTCTGAAACTTCTGAAAATTAGTTAAGGAAACTGTCTACACACAAAAAAATTATTAATGTAAAAAGCCAGTGCTTACCATCATGTATTTTAAATAAACTTGATGTATCAGTAATATAAAAAGTACATTCCCCACGTCTTTTTGAATTTCAGGCGGTGGATGAAAATAAAATGAAATAAATTCTTTAATTGCTTTTCCCTCTTGTTCCCACAGCCTGCGACAGACAGCGCTTAACATCGACTCAGAAGAAAACCACGAACCTTTGACGCTTTTCTCTGGAATTTAAGCATCAACACAATTACCTGCAGGATGCCAGATTTCAGCCGTTTAATTAATAAGAGAATTTTAAAACAAACAAATAAATAAAAAAAACAAAACAACCTAAATGTTTGTATTGAGAGACAAACAAATACTCATTTGCCATTTTTTGGGATATCATATATCCCAGAAAGAAAAAGTTTGCTAATCTGATTTCAAAACAATTGAATTGAGCACTTTAGGGCTCATTTATAAATGGGATTTTGGTGTGTATATATTTTTTATTTCTAAGTGCAATTACAACGACTGAATGCTAGGTGTCAAAACATTTTTCAGCTTAGAGGGGATAAACACTGAATATATGGTAAATTTAAGAAACAAACAAACATTAAAATCACAAGGAAAAAAACATTTATTTGACAAATGCTCCCATTTGATGGTTTTAAAAAGTAGTTATTGTACAGGCGATAGAACAAATTTTCATCAATGCTCTTAGCTTAAGTTCATAATTTTACTGCTTCCATTTGTATCACCTAGCTTTTCAGCCTCATTTAAATCATTTATTCATTCATTCGAAATATGATTGAATATTCAGAGGTTTTCTGTTTGTTTGTTTGTGTTTTTTTTTTTTTCCTGCCCCCATTAATCGTTGTCTGTTTTGCCCTACAACATTTGTTGTTTCGGTGTGTATGCTTGATTGCGAGTGACCAAAGTACGTGATTCATTTCACAGGAACCCATATGTGGAATTAATTATGTAAACCCCTTTTGAGAAAAGCAAATTTAGGATTTAAGCCCCTCTGCTACTCAGTTTAGGCCTCAGTCATGCAGGCCTAGAAACCAGTTGGCAACTATCTGGCAACCACTTAAATGTGTATTCCCAATCACTTGGTGAGAAGTTGCTGGCAGTTGCAAGGTGAAACTGATTGCAAAGAAATATACGGAGCTGCACTGAAAACCTGCTTTGCGTGCTCTCAAGTTGCTGTACTTGTGTAGAAGATGCCGACTTGTCTGCAGACATTTGTCACCTAGTTGCGTAGCTGTAGTAAAACACAACTCAGAAACGAGACTGTTCCCCAAAGATGTTGGGTGCAAACTTGTATTCTGAAGTCGGAACGTTCTTTATTTCCTGTTTGTGTCAAATTTCAAAAAGTTTCACTTCCGCAGAACCATTAGTTGGCAAGTGTTTGCAGACAACTCGGTGTCTCCCTCCCAAACTACAGTAGACTGTGGTAATCTGCTAGTAACCAAATTAATCACAAGGAGGGATTAATTGTAATTCTAACAGATCTAGAATTAGTGACTAAGCCCATGAACATAAGAGTCAAGAAAGAAAGCTGTTCAATGGGACCAGAAGTCTATTTATAATTACAGTTCAGATAGAATGCAGATTTAGGGCACTTCCACGTTAGCTTCATCCATGTCTTTTACTGATATCAGCTAGCAACAACCGCTTGCCAAATGGTCAGAGAGTGCACGTTTCTTCTTGGTGACCGGAGGTTGCTTGGTAGTTACCGACTTGTCCGTAGGCCTGTGTGACTGAGGCCTTACGTAAGGAGACATTCCTGAGTGATGTTCTGTCTGGGCAGAATCTTTAAACTTTAGCATCAGGTTTCCCAAACATCGATTTATTCTAGTGGCAGACTTGGAAAAAATTTTAGAAAAAAATGCTGGTGTAGGCTTAATCCTTATCTGGGGAAATTGAGCCTTAAAGGTAATGTGGAGCAGTGGTAATGACTGCAAGGGAAAGGTTGTTGGCATCACCCCTCCATGTGGAAATTATCTGGAAAAGTCTTCTAAAACTCAGTTTCATGTTGTGATTTCATGTTTAGCTTACAGTAGTTCCACTGTTGCTTGAAGCTGTTGAAAAAAAAAAACTTGTGTTCAGAAATGTATTCTCGACACCTTTGAAACGAGTCGCTGATCTGGACTGCACCAAGTGAGATTCATTGAAAGAAACAAGAAACTGAATATGGGTAAATACAGAGAGTGAACCTTTTGTAAATCTTCAGTTTATGACTTTCTTTTCTTGGTTTCCCACCCTCTTAACTGGAATACTAATCTGTTTTACTTCAGTGGTCTTATTATTTTGACTGTGAAACAAAGTTGTGACGTGTTTTATTCCAACATCTGTTTAGACGACATGTTCAGAATATGGTGTTATTTTCCACTGTAACAGTATCCCAAGGGGTTCGGGCCCTTTCACCCACGCCATTTGGATGTCATCGTCATCGCTTCAGTGTTCTTTCATGTAATTAGCAGCGTTAGCTGATAGTTTATCACACTATGAACTTTTAAGGGAAAGCTCAGCTCTGAATGTTGTGTCGAAGATGGCCACCTTCCTATCGTCACACCGCTGATTTAAAAACCTTAAAATGGTCAAAGGCCGGATCTGGAGGTTATTCAAAAGTTTAATTTGGAATTAAAGTGTAAAACTTTGTTTTGTTGTTGTTGTTTTTTTTGGGGGGGGGGTTAGCCTTCTGTTACCTTTGGAAGCTGCCATTCATCTTAATCTGCTGCTTTGTTTACTATTGTAGTTGCCAGACCATTTAATAAACATGTTGATTACAAAAAAACACTTGTTTCTGCCTTACTTAAACTAATCTAGGGTATCAGCTTTCTGGAAAGAACCCAAAACAGTCACATTAGTTGTTGTGTTTGGTTTTAACGATCAGGATTGTCTTATTTTTATTGAGTCAGTACAGTGCCTGCTGAAAACCAAGTATTATGTGGGATCTGTTGCTCTAAATCGAGCTCAGAGCATGGGAAAGGCTACCATAACTTTACAGAACAACTAAAATTAATTACTTGTTTCACATCTAATTATTGTCTCTGATTTGAAAAAAAAAATGCAGGAAATTAACAATGGAACGTGTTTTGTGTCTATGCAGCTGCCACAAATAATTTGCTGCTGACGCAGAGCCTCTCTGTGCGGTTCGGCCCCAAAGGCTGTGGTAGCTGAACTAGTTTTGTTGTTACGTAACATGTCCTGACAGCTCTCAGTTTGCTGTGGGGTTAGGTTAAGCACAAGTTGTTTTAACTACTGTATTAGGGCGTAGATCCAACCGTGGGCTGAAACTGATTTTGGAATGCGGTGTGGTGTCTGTTCATCCGGCTCTCAAGATTAATGACTGTGTCTGTGCTTACACAGATTAGCTTTATTGTCTGTCTTTGTAACCCAGAAAGGTAAAAATCCGTCTTTCGCTTGCAGCAAACATGGATGTTTACCAAAATCCAAGGTCAAGGACAAACAGTCACATGTATGATTGCAGGTTTTCATAAATGACAGCCTCCTCTCATGCTTAAATATCACTCGTGCTTGTCACAGTGACATAGCAGCGAGGCTTGTAATCACGGCCTGCATCTGCCTCAGTGGGTGGCCTTGAAATTAAATATTTCCACACTGAGCCATTCAGGTTTTACACATAACCTTTTGGAATCAGCAAAAATGTAGTAGCAAATCCATACACCCACCAACCACTTCATTAGGTACACCTTGCTAGCACCAGGTTGGACCAACTTTTGCCTTCAGAGCTGCTTTAATTCTTCGTGGTATTAATTCAATGAGGTGCTGGAAGCATTCCTCAGCTGCTCATCCATGATGTGAATCTCCCCTTCTACCAGTGTTCAAGAAAGTGGTCTGAGATTATTTGAATGTTGTGAGGTGGTGCATTAAGCTGCTGTGGTTGTAATAAGTGGTTATTTGAGTTACTGTTTCCCATCAGCTCAAAGCAGTATAGCTGTTCTTTTCTTTGCTGCTCACTGGATATTTTCTTGTTTCTTGTTTACAGATGGTTGTGTGTGAAAATCTCAACAGATCAGCAGCTTCTGAAATACTCAGACCAACAGTTGTGCTATGTTCAAAGTCAGTAAAATCACCTTATTTCTTCATTCTGCTGCTCAGTTTGAATTTCAACCGGTCATCTTGACCATGTCTACATGTCTAAATGAGTTGCTGCATATCAAGCCAGGTCCAGACGATCTGTATTCAATGAACACTTGAACAGGTGCACTATTGAAGAAGCTGGAATTGTTGAAAATGGCATTCATTCAAAAACATTTTAAGTTTGTCTTAGACATATTTGCCTTACTTAATTTTAAAACGTTTCCTCTTGGTGTTATATTTTATTTAAAAATGTAATAAAATATTGCGTTCTTTATTGAGTCACTCTTAGTATTGTATGGCTTGAATATACTGAGCAGCAGCTGCAGCAGTGTGAAGGTCATCTTGCCCAAAGCAGCCTGCTCGGCCTGCATACTGCCCACATATCGGTCAATTTAGCAACTGCGCATGCGTGAGGCCTGTTGCGACCCTCCTGTCCAGTAGGTGGCGCTACCGGTAGGTTCCTGTAGGTGTCAGCTCCGCTACATGTGTCATTGACATCAACAGAGGGTAAGTGATTTCTGCATGACGTTCTTTTATTGTATTTTAATACATCTACTTTTAGGGTTGTACTTAAAAAAAATTAGGCAGCAGTCTCATTTGTGAAATGTTTGTGTGTACGTAAACGGCGGCGAGTTAGCCGCTCTAGGCTAACGTTATTGATAGCATAATTCATATTAGCCTAGCTTGCGTTGCTCCTGTGTATGGCTGCCAGCCTCTTGGGAAAAAAACCTCAGCACCCTTGTTTGACTTGCAGCACAATGAGGCTGACCACTCTGCTGTCGATGGCAGCCAGGGTCATTGTGCCCAAAGATTACCGTTACGGCACCAACAGGCCGTGGACAGCCGCTGCTAAAAGGTTAAATCCACCGGGGAAGAGGAGGAGGAAGGTGTTTGTTGAGCCGATAGCGCCAGAGGAGTGGTCTGTGCTCAAAGGGGACACGGTGAGAAAACATTTTTTGGGACTCAGCTGTCAAGCTTTCATCTGACTCATATTGTGCAAATATTTTTCTTTATATTGATAGGTTTAAATTGTCTAATATTCAGTGTTTGGTGTAAAGCTTTCCAAAGTTTCACCCCACAATTGAGTGCTAATAGAAAAGCACAATATAAGAAGCAGTCCACTCACCATTTATATTCCCCCGTTGTTCTAAAACCAAGAAGAAACAGAGAGCTTTGCAATACATAGTAGAAAAAAACTATACAAGGCAACCGATAATGAGGATAATATTAAAATTAAGTCCAGTATGTGTTCATGTGATTTATCTGTATGTTGATAAAGTTTTAATCTGTAATACAGCTAATGCTAATAATGTTGTAATTACTTTGGTGTAGCCACAACTGATAGAGTCAGGAGAAGTAACATACATCTGTTGTAAACATGCATGAAAACTAATTTAGGAAAATTCAGTCAACGAATTGGTAAAATATTTTTCTGGCCAAACCAGCAAAAGTGGTACAGTAACAAAAAAGTATATTCATTTTATTTAAAGTAGTAAATTTCCTACATAGAGTTTAAATGTTTGCTTTTGATTTCTCAGGTTGAGATTCGGAAAGGCAATGACAAGGGAAAGCAGGGGAAAGTTATCCAAGTCTTCAGACGCAGAAACTGGGTCATCCTGGAGGGACTGAACACAGTAAGGAAGTGTTGTTTATTTTTTTTAATTTGTTTATTGAGAAATGCGCATTATAGATTTTGCTTTTGAAATGTAAGTTACATGCCTTTTATTGAGTGAGCATTGTGTAAGTGTTGGGAGAAGATGAAAGGCTATCTGTTTTCCTACAAAAAATTTTCAGCATACACTTGAACTGTCCTGGACATGATTACATTACAGATTTTTTCATTTCCCCCAAAATTATATTAGCTGTTCCATTTCTTTTTTAGCTCTTTTAAAAATGCTTCATACTTATCTCGTTGCTCCACCAGGTGGAGCCAGATGTCTGGGATGTGGGTGGTCAGGGTGTAGCTGCAGACAAAGCACACCATTGAAAGCCTTTTGGCATTCATCTGTTTGCATTTTGTGCCTTTTAAATGGGAGAACTGTGAACTTTTTTTTCCCATCGTAGCATCACAGGTATATTGGAAAAACTGCAGATTACCGTGGGACGTACATTGCCAGTGAGGCTCCCATCCTGGTCCGTGATGTTGCCCTCGTTGACCCCTCAGACAGGTATGCTGAACTCTGCCTCAGTCCTAACATCTGTTGCTATGCTTATGCAGAACCTTAAACTAGATGGACCACGGGTTAGTTCTCAGTCTTAGTTTGGCTCCTTAAAAAAAACAAATAAATAAATAGTTAATTTTTGTAACCGTAAGTGTTAAAACTTACAGCTGTAATAGATTTTAACATAAGATTTTCTAGTGAAAAAACAGCAATCTGTAATCTCTGTGCATCTGTACAATATTCTTTTCCTTTACAGCACCATTAAAATAATTGTGATAACACAGCAATCTAAAGTCAAAAAATAGTTCACCTTTTCTTTTTCTTTTTCCTTTTCCATTTAAATGCTCCTGCTCTTTGGCATTTTTCCAGACCAGTTTTAACTTACTGATCTCGATCTTACAGGAAACCCACCGAGGTCGAGTGGAGGTTCACAGAAGAGGGTGAGAGAGTCCGAGTGTCGCTCAGGACGGGGAGAATCATCCCGAAACCAGTTGTGGAGCGACGAGATGGCATTGTGCCGCAGCAGTGGAAAGGTAAGGGTCTGTGTGTGTGTAAATTTCAGTAGCCATTTTATCTCAGGGGTTGCTTAGAGTCGTCACATTAAGACCAGCTGTTGTTTATTTTTCCGCCTGTTCAGACTTCTGTTTTTAAGTGATCCAGTTTGACTGTTTTGAAGTGGAAGAAATATTTCTTTCTAAACTTGAACGCACATAGGCAGGACTGTTTTTGCTAGTGCAGAACCAGCACACTATTTATTTCAAGTTCTTCTTGTGTGAAACTAAAAGTCTTCTGTTTGTCCAACAAAGTGATAGAAGTGTCTGATGATTGAAAAAATAGTTGGTGTCAATTGAAACGATGCATTCTGCTTTCACAGATGGACCTAAAGATACCAGTCCCGAAGATGCTCTTGAAAAGACATACATACCATCTCTGAAAACCCTGGAGGAGGAGGTCATGGAGAAACTCGGTATCCAGGAGAACAGGAGGCACCGAACGTCCTACTGGTACTGACCAGACAAATCAGAGACACTTAGCCTCCCCTTTGTGCTGACCAGTTTTCACAGGAGCTCTGGACATACCTTGTTCTGGAGTTGAGCAGAAGGTCAGGTCAAACAGAGACTGTGAAGATACCAAGTGGAGGCTGTACGGACTCTTAACAAACTGCTGCACCATGAAAATGATCTGTAAACAATATGAGGAAGTGAAGTCAGACTGCAGTTCACTTAGGTGTCCCTTTGTTTCTTTATAGTGTTGTGAATAAATGTCAGACTAAAGTGTTTGCATTTTCATGTGGAAAATCACAATCACGGGGTGCAAAGTTTAAAGATTTCATACAAAAAAACCCCAATGATCCTTGTTGCCCATTTTAAGTTTGTGTCAAACTTGTTTGGATACAAACCTATGAGGTAATAATATTAGTGTTTAAGACATGCTCCCTCGTGTGACTAAAAATCAGTTTATGCAGATTTTCAACAGTCAAAGCTAATGATTAGCCAATTGGCATCATGGGACAACTGATGTTGTCGAGCTTAAATGAAGGATGAGTGATAACAGAAGCACAGACAGTAGAAAGGGAATTCTTGTAGCAATTTGCTGAAACGTGCAAACATACATGAAAATGCAGTACATAAGACACAGTTTGTACAATTCTAACAAGCCCGAGTCAATGTTTTGTGCGACTTCCTTTATTCTTCAACACAGCCTGTTCTCCAAACTTCTTGAAGGACATTCAAAGCTCTTCTTTGGGTGTTGGCTGCCTTTTGTTCTGCTCTCTGTCAAAATGATCCCACACATCTTCAGTAATTTGGGGGTCCGGATTCCAGGGGAGGCCGAACCACGGCTGATAGCGAAAGTTTATCTATCGAGGTATGCTTTTGCTGCATTGGGTTTGTGTTTGGGTCCCTTTCGACAGTCACTGTTGTCCTGCTCTTCTGACGTCCTCCATACACATTGATTTGAACCAAAACCTTTCATTTCCTAAGACCTGTTGCCATTGATTTTCGGTCCAGTTCTTGTGTAAGTTGAGATACCTCAGCCTTTTCTTTTCTTGCCGTTTCCCTTCTATCTGGTGAGGCTTCAGTGAACAACAGATTGATAAATTGAATGGCCAAGAGGTAAGTTGTTTATTTGTACAGACCACAATAGTTGGATCCCTTGAGTCAGATGCCTTTTTAGCCTTGAATGATTCATAGGTCAGTGTTAAGTAGCTCAACAACCAAAAAAAACCACTTCTCTGAAAATAATTAGATACAAGGACTGAACTGAAAATGAGGGAAAAATCAGCCAAGGTCCAAAGAAAAACATTGAAAGACCTTTGGAAAGCCTGGAGAACTGTTTCTCAAGACCACTTTTAAAAATGTCAAGAAAATCTGGCTACCTAAAAGAAGAAACAATGTGCAGTTGAAGCACTTTTCTTTGCTCCCCTCGTACATGATTATGCTGACATGGCTACAGAACATAAAATCACATAAAACCAGGAACTTTGGTGTTGAGCGATTGGGTTGAGAAAATCCCCTCCTTCATGGAAATGGCTAAAGTCATCACCAGAACATTTGGCACTGGTGCAAATTTCTATTATTTGCCAATAAAAATCTTTGAAACTTCTTAAATGGTTATGAATGCTCTTGACTATATCATAGAAAGAATAATATAAATGGAAACCAAAGCAGCTTATTGTAAGAAACACATTTTCTGCCACTGCTAAAACATCTGGCTCTGACTGTAGAGTCATTAACAGACTGGAGATGGAAACGCAAACCTTTTGCTCTTAGAAGCACAAAACATTAGGTAGATAATTAGTATCTAAAGCTTATTTATCATTTCAACTAAAAAGTGTTACATAAGCTTGAACAGGAGCCTTGCATTAGGAGAACAGCAGTGCTCGTTCACAGCAGGCTTCATACATACAGTCTAATGTCAGAGAAGCGACAGTACTCTGGCTTTTGGCAGCATTAATAACGGTGGTGGTTACAGCCTGCTTGGATGATTCGTGAGGCTGAAAATAGCCATATTATTTTACAGAAGCCCAGACACAGAGCTCTCCAAAACTGAAAACCTTCAGACAAATGAGTCTGTCTTTCCAAAGTGTCTGGACAACCATGTGGAGAAAGAAATGGCTCGTCAGGAGCCAACATGGACTGGGTAGTCTCAACAAAGTCCTCACTCACCTCATTTGACATTTTATGCACTGGCACTGTGTCACACCTGCGTTGTGTAACACTTTTTCATGTTTCAATTATGACCTCATTCGCGAACAACTGTAGAAACTGACAAAGGCAGAAAAAAAGCTTTGAAACATCTATTACACTTTCTTCACTACTTACATATCAATATACTGGTTAAATTACCCCAATCGTGCTTAATCACATATACATGGTTTTAATTTGGTTATTTGTGATGTGGTTTAAGATGTTTAGCTAGCTTTTTTCTTCCTTAACCTCTCAGCTTATTACTACATAGGATTTGCCTCTTGCTGTAATGCTTTAACTGTAAGCTTAATTTGTTTATTACTAAAGCATTTCAGGCCCAACTGATGAGAAGGAGCAAAAACTTCATAGTACGTTGTTTTCTTAGCTACACTTTACACTTAGTACTTTCAAGATTAGGCTCAAAACGTTACTTTTTCAATTGGCAAATTAATGATGTTCATTTAATAAATAATGACACACTGTTCTCACCTTCATAAGCTGCTTTTATAGGTTTAAAGTATTGGTATCTGCAATACCTGGTATCGGATCAATATCAAAATCTGCAGTATCACACAGCACTAAATTTGGCTTCCCATCATTGCCCCTGGTTCCTTTTCCTGTTAAAAGGAAGTTTTTCCTTCCCGCTGTCGCCAAGTGCTTGCTCATAGGAGTGCGTTTCATTGTTGGGGTTTCCTTCTAATATTCTTGAGAATTTACCTTATACTATAAAGTGCTTTGAGGCAACTGTTGTTGTGAATTGGCGTTATATACGTTTAATTATTTGAACTCAATTGAAACGGCTTGTTTCAGACACTACATGAACTGAAGTGTTGCACCAAGATTATTTTGAGCTGTGAATCATGCAATGGTGCTCTCCAAGAGTCCAAGAGGAAAAATATGGAGCTGGAATATATGATAATAGTATAATAGGCCCCATTAAAAGAGCAGTCAGCCCAAACAAAAACAGTTACTTCAGTAAAAAATATCTTAGCATTGCTATAAATATCCAGAATTATCCTTATGAATAAAATCAGCTCTAGTTTTATCACTGATATATAAGTTTGGCAGCTTATGAAGCAAACGCAGTCTCTTTTTCCTCACTGGTTAACCACACATATTGATTTACTAAAAGACCAACTCGACTTGCTTCCAGAGCTCCAGCTGGCGAAGCAACTAGCGTCACTGCCAGGCATTGAAACAAAAAAACGATGTGTCACAGATAATATAATTGCATCAAAATTTCACAGTGGCTCTCCATACCCTAATTTTTGGTCAGTGCAGTCAACATCATGCAGAAAGCATGGCAAGTTGATGGTTTGGCCAGTTTGCGGGATGAGTGTAGCAGTTTTCCCAGACTCGTCCCTCCTGAACCGGTTTGCCTCTGCCGCTCTGCATCCAAGAGGGAATAAAAGCAGCCAGTCAGCGGAAACTGGGTTTTGAGGTTTTTTTTCTTTATGGGAGGAAAAATGATTCAAAGGCTCGTCGTCTTTCCTGTCATTTCATGAGTGTTGTACAGATTTTGCTCTGCAACTGCAGCAAGGTGAAGTAGAACCTCTATGCTGCTCCATTTGTCTGAACATTTTCCATTTACACTCACAAAAGCACATTTTTATGGGAATCTTAACTTCTGCAGGGGAGTTTTTTTTTTGTCCATCTTATAATTTGTGGTAAATTGACAGCTATGCTGGCAACCCAGTTAAATGAAACCACTGACATGACTCAAGCAGAATTAAAACTACTTTAAATAAACTGCATGGTGGGCTCTGTGTTTTAACTGAGTCACCCTTGCTGCTGAGCAACTTAAACTAATTAATCCCACCTGGTGGTGCACGCTGTATATGAAAGAGTCACGTTCACCATCAGAGGTGTTACTGTTTGTCAGTCTAACAGGTCAGATTACATTAAAAGTGTCCAAAATGTGTCTTAAGCTTATAGATGCTGTAGCAATTGGGCACAAGCTGGTTAAAAATTTGTTTCCCAGAAAGATTTGTAACAGCTCAAACATCTGAAGGCACTTTAAAACTAAATTTGAGTGCTGCTCTTGACTCAGTTGATGATCTAAGCTCAGCTACAATGTAATGATAGTGTCTAATTACAGGCTGGTTGTTTGAAGGCTGCTGGAAAATGTTAACGTTAGCTTGTATGCAGGTCTGAGGCATGGCACACATGCATGTTTAACTATGTTTGGTCTAATTTAGCTGGCTCCCAGTGGATTTTTGTGCATGAACTCAATATGTCACAATTAAGAGATGAAAAAGCCGGCAAAACACAGCTCTTCCTTCTCGTCTTGGGCTTTAATTTTCTCATCCATGCTTTGCTTTTAAGATGTTATGCTCATGTTAGCTGGGTCATTTAAATGCCGACCTTTAGTTCACAGAAAAAGCAGCTGCATATGTTTTATTTAGATAGCAAAACAGCATCTCAGCACATTCAACATGTTCTAGGAAATGTTCCTGCAGTTAAACGTATTTCATCTATGCAGAGATGCCAGTTAAAATGTTTAGAGGTAATCTAAAGTAAACATTCCCCCTCCAAATTCGTGTTGCAAGAAGATTTTTTTAGTATATGAGAGCCTAAAGAAATCATTTGTTACCTCTTTAACTCCTTGTCTGAATTCAGTGTAGTCTAAGTGGGAGTGGTGTAGACTGAAGCTCACTCTGTTACTAACATTACATTATTAACCATCTGACGAGGCTCTGGCATCAGTGGTGGAAGAAGTAATTTCATCCTGTTGCTAAGTAAAAGTATCCAATAACAATGCTAACTCCTGCCAGTTTTCAGTGTTTATTGTTATTATTGATATTATTATTATAGGTAGCGAAGAATTGAAATCCTTTTGCTTGTTCAGATGTGGCAAATTTTACTTATATATATGAGTAGGTTTCACTTGTATGAGAATGTACATTTTGTAAAGTAGTCATTTGTTTTGTGTGTAAAATCTAAAAACTGATGTAGGAAACATATATATGGACACAAACACACACACAAAAAGAATAATAACCTTTAAATGTGTCATTTAAATGTTCTAATGCTGTCTAGAAACTGTGCTATTTTGGGCTGTCTCAGACAAAAGAAATCTGATGTGGAAAAAATTGTGGTTATTCCTTAGTCATGATTTCAGGACATGAGGTCATGTGAAGAAAGTTTTAGGACTAAACTGCACCCTTACTGCCTACATGGGAATTAGTAAGGTTAGCAGCAGACAGATACTGCTAATCAAATGCATTTACCATGCAATACTCAGAGAAACCCCAAGATCTACATCTCAGACTCTACAGGCCTAGGTTAGCATGTTAAATTTTAAAGTTAATGACAGCACAATTATAAAAAAAAGCCTGAAGCCTCTTCCAAGCATAGTTTAGGTTTGCAAAGTTCCATCTGAACAAACCGCAAGACTTCTGGAACAATATCCTTTGGACAGGTGATATTGAAGTGGAGATGTTTGGGCATTCACAGCACCGCATTTGGTTAAAACCAAACAGAATGTCACCACAAACCCTTAAACCAAATTCCAAGCACGGTGGTGGAGGCATAATGATTTGGGCTTGTTTTGCAGGACCTGGGCATCTTGCAGTCATTCAGCTGGCCATGAATTCCTCTGTATACCAAAGTATTTTATAGCCAAATGTGAGGCCACCTGTCCGACAGCTAACACTTGACCGAAACTGGGTCATGTAACAAGATAATGATTCAAAGCACAGCAGCAAGTCTGCAACAGCTTCAAATCTTCAGGACTGAAAAGACATTAAAGCTCTGTTTAGAAACAGCAACCCGATCAATTGAGGATCCACTCTGTGTTAAATCTAAATAACTTCATGAATATATTTCTAAAACAATTTTTAAATTGATTTTGTTTTCTTCAGCGATTGGTAAGTCCTTGTTTTGAGTATTCATCAATGAACTGCATACTTAAAACTTTGTTACAAGTAATGGCTGTCGAAAACCTAGTGAAATATAACATTCTTTGCCCACGCCCTGCCTGCATCTTCATTTCATGATTGTGTCACATTTGCCTTGACTCAGAGTGAGTCTCACTGCCTCAGCTCAGCCGCAGGTTTGCTGTATGTAGGATGGATTTCAGAACCTTAAGTGCCAAAGAGCTCAATGACAGACACTCATAGGTGTAAGTGTGACCGCTGTCTGTTCTCCGGGCTTTGACATTTCCTTCCCAGACAGTCCCGCTGTTATCTGAGTGTGAGATTCCTCAGGTGTGCAGCATCGACCGCTGCTGCCGAGTCACAGTATGACCACTACAAAGCATCATTCACTCCCGCTGCAGAGTGCACAAGTACGCTCTAACATTTGCTCCTTTCATGTGTGTGTCTGTTGCGTATTTCATTAACAGATGTTGTAGAACGTTGCTGAAAATACAAATTGAGTGCATCAAGCTTTAACTTTTCCACTTTGTCACATTTTACTGACTGAGATGAGCCAGTGCACACCCCATAAATGGCAGGACCAAAGCCTGATTGTGTGGTTCTCAGTGACGTTCGGTCTATAGTGTTTCTGCTGGTTTGTGTGAAATGAAGAATAGAAAAACAGTTTTTAAATATACAACATTAAAGCACAATATTAGCTGAAACCTCCTGCAAAACCAGGCTGAAGGAAGTGCAGCCATCTGCTGCTTCATGCTAAGGGTGAGGGGATAGAGACAAAACACACACTAATAACTCCTAATTAAATGTAGAGTGATGTATAAACACATAGTGAGTGAAATGAGATGAATGTAGAAGAAATAGTGGATAATGGAAACCCTCAGCAGCTTAGACTTGTTACTAAGATATTGTTCATGGTCACCTGCAGCCCTATATGGTCCTCCTCGTGGTTTTACAGAAGAAGGACCTGAAAGCTGATGGCTCTGCCTCCCATTTAATTTTTTTAAATATTCTAGGAACCACAAGTAAGACAGCATTGTGAGAGTGGAGTGCTGTGTTGAGATGATACAGTACTGTGAGGCCTTTAACATAAAATTACCTTTTATGTGAATTTTGAAAACAAGAGGAGCTAAAATTGTCTCTCTCTCTAGTCTTTCATTCTTCAGCCATCATTTTGCACTTGTATCACTTACACAACATCATGAATAAGACTGTAACTGTGGACTTTTCAACCTGCCTTTAATTTGTTCATTGAAGAAAAGTTTTATTGTTGCTCATTTTTGCCAGAACCTCGATGAGGAGTAATCACATTTCATAGAAGTGCTGCATATTTGGCCCTATGTGGGCTACTTATGATTCATTTATGGCACAGGACACCTGAAATCTGTTCTTTATAGGGAAGGCTAGTCTGAGGCTAGTCAGCCAAACATGGCCACATTTGGCCTTGAGTAAAAGCCAGATCTTTTTGTTTTATGAATTTATTTATGCATCAATTTCAAATAAAAGTTTCAACTGTAAATAACATACTTTAAAGTGGTAAAAGTGATCTTGTTGTGACCCTTCAGTCATAGCAAAAGCTTCTGGGTTGCATACTGTTTTCAGCTTGTTCCATTCAAATCAAGCATGCTCTGCAGATTCCGATTGTAAATGACAGGGCAATGCTCTTGTGCAGGATTTTCCAGACCTCTCTCTCTGCGCCAGAATGCAAAGCTATTCATGATGATTTAAAAATATACCGCGGGGTGTGACAGATAACGAAGGAGGCGGTACTTTAAATTGTCCCTTATCGTTCTCCGGGATATGTGACTGTGCTGCAATATCAATACCTGCAGCAGCTTCAGCAGCTCACTCCGGACCGCTGCGCTGACTGCTCTTCTCTCACCCTGGTTCATCCAAGTGACGCTCAGTGAGTTCTCCGCTTCCCTGCAGTAAAAACATGCAGGTCATCTCCTCTCTGCAGGCTTCACTTCATAGCCTATAACATCGGTTTCTTTACTTGTCATCCCTCCCAATCCCCCTTGACAGGCATGCGCCATCTCCATCCCGATTGTTGGGTGAAAAAGTGGGCAGTTCAGGGTTTCATATCTGGCGTCACTTTCTCCCAACTCCCTCTTTTCTCCCCGAGCCTCTGAGTGTGCCGGTCCCAGCCACCGTTTACCTGCGCAGAGCATCCAGAGCCGCTTTTCCCGTGACAGGACAGTCGCACTGCAGCACGCTGACAGGCGCTCACGGAAAATACTCTTTACAGCAAAGAAGTGCAACCTGCATCAGCTGAGATGCTGCTGAGAGTCATCCGGTAGGCTTACCGTCTCTGTCTCTTTCTCTCCCTTAAGGTCGATGGGTCAATGATACGCAGTAGATGATGCGATTTGGTCTTTCCAAAGTTCTTTTGAATCTCCTGTGTCAGGTTAAATGGACGTATGATTAAAGACAATTATACTCATTGCCACTTAATTGCGCTGTAGTAATTGATGTTCTCCGAAAGGTCCTAAAATTAATTGTAAACTGCTGTCCCCCACTGTGTTTAAACCGTGTTTCCGTGTTTTACGCATGCACACCTATAAAGGTAAAGGAAGGATAACGGGCTATTTTAAACGCATTTACTATCAATTTGGACTCCTACAAAGCCCCCCCTGCCATTCAAAAGCTTTTCCTGGGATTTCACACTCAGTGCTTTTATTTGCCCTGTGGGAACAAAAAGCTGCTTTTTGTTTTAAGTGCGTATTTTAACTCTTCACTCGCTGTGGTCCACCTCAGGTGGAGTTCAGTAATGGACAGGTAGAAAGACAGAGGGCAAATTGAATGATGAAGCAGACTTTTAAGGATTTCTTTCTTCTGTTTAATAGGTTTGTGGCTCTCTGGTCAGATTTGAGCAGATATAAAAAGCAGTGGTGTGGTTATGCTGTAATTTCATGACAGAGTAATCATGTTATCATCTTCCAGTGGGATGCCATCGAATTGCTGGACCACAACCCTCTTCAAATCCTGATTTTATATTGATCTCAGCTGCACAGCTTAAAGTTTAGTGACTGTCTTGCACAGCTGCAATTCTCTCATGTGGGCAAACTCTGTCCACAGACAAACACAGGCAAACATACAACAAGAAAAACCCACAAAAGTGGCCTTCCCCTCTCTACATGTTAAATTGGTCAGTACACAAAAAAATCACAAAGTCAAAACTAGCCACAGTCACAGCTGGTAAAAATGTGGCTCACAATCTATCTAGAGATCTGACCCAAACTAGAGTGATGAACTCTACACTAAATATAAGATGAAATGTAAAGCATGGTGGAGAATGGACGGCCATCTGCTCAAATTTAGAGCCAGATATGTTGTTGATCCTCCACTGCACCAGTAGGTTGTTCAGCTAAAGCTATAGTTACAGAAGTTGTTCTTGTTTTTGTTGTTGTTGTTGAGGATGAGTTGCACTCAGGTGTATAATTAGATAAATAGCAAGCCTTGCTCAGACCTCTGAATCGCTGCTCATGTCAAAATATTCAAAATGAATGAGCAATCCTGGCAATTCAAACTGAATATTAAGCTACTGCATATGACGGAGGACAACACATTTGTGCCCCGTGACACAAATGTCATGCAAAATAACCCCTGTGAGCCAAAAGTGCAGGCTCCAGGGTGCTTGAATAGCTCTGTTGCCATACCCACCTAGTATTCAGACCTTCTTCTTGAGAGGGGCAGCCAGTCAAAATAAGATTTATTTAAAGGGGTTCTTCTCTAAAAGGGAAGGAGCTTGTTTCAGAAAGCAGGTAAGCTGAAAGACTTTGCAGTGTTTCTAACTATCGCTCATGCAAAGCTACTTTAGTAGAGTCTGTGTATCTGAGTATTTGAGTGCAGATTTGAGCTCAAACTGCAGGTGCCTGACTCCTGGGCATGTTTGCCCTGAACGAAGAAAGTGATGCGTCTCAGAAAGCAGAGCCCACCTGATCCTGAACACAAGCGGAAATCGCCTCCTGTGTATAAAAGGACAGCTGTACAGGCTGAGCTTCATCTGTGGATCCACTGAGTCAAGCCTAGGATCAGGTGTTTGCGCAAAACACACTTTAATTTGTTCCCAGACAAAGTGGGTGGTGAATCAGCTGGTGGGTGGCTCTTCCAAAGTGGTAATCTTGTAGACAGGAGACAGACCACTGATGATGTAGGGAGTTGGAGGTGTGGTGCTGAGTGAATAGCCTCATTTACCAACTCGCTCTGCTGTTAAGTGTACAGTAGCCAGTGTTTATATTCAAAGTCTGGGTTTGATGTTTCTGAACTGAATCACCTCCTTTGACCCTGCCAAGGTCAATGAAGTAAAGACTGACATTAAGTTTATTTGTTTTGAGCTGGATGTAAAAGTGGTTTCTGTCTGGTTTAGGTCAGGCAAATGTCATCAACATAAATGGATTTGTTATTAAGGCAAATAGCAGCAAGAATGTATACTTGTGGGAGTCAGTTATTCAATCACAACTGTCCAACTGAATATCCAGCTGCTGACCAGAGTTCTGGTGTGTAGGGCCAATAAATAAAATTGATTTAGTTAATATGGTTTAAACTTCTTCCAGGTCAAACATCTTGTTCAATGTTAATTGCATTAGGAAGCAGCTGCTGGATAGAGTATAAACTCTGTGCTTAAATAATTTTTTCATACACTAGAAAAAGAAAAGAAGTTGAAATAAATGAACAGGCTGCTTTATGTTACATTTAACTTCTGTTTACATGTAGTCTGAAAACTGAAATCTTAAATATTAAAAGAAGGAGAAGAAAAGAAGACAACAAATAGACCATAGTTGCAAAAACTGTGCATTTTTATGGGACCCTGTTCTGTTTTATCCTGGACATATCCCTCCTAAAGCCAGTTCCAGCTCAGCACTCCTCCAAGTTTACAGCACATCAGTCAAACTGACATGTCTGAGCTGGCTAAACTGGGATCAGGAGCCTCTTCCTGGTTTGTGTGCATTGACACTGATGCAGGCTGCAGAGGAATGTCTGTGCAGCACTGACAGGGATGTTTGCATAAAGTTGATGAGGTTTATTTAACGCCAATTTCTTATGTTTTCTTTTCCATAAATGCGTTAGTCTGTAGCTGATTATTCCACAGAAGATTCTGGATTAGTTGCCCTTTTGGATAGAGTGCTGGCTGCAGTTTGTGGGCCGTAGCTGCAGTGGGTGGCATTGATTTCAGCTTGACTTGTCTTCACTGCTAACCTCACTAAAACAAGCAGACCTGCAAAGTGCTTGGCGAAGGCGAGGCCGAAAAATGCGATCTAAAGACGGCACAAAACAACCAGCAGCAACTAGGATTTTCTCTGCTGTCATCAATCTGAAAGCACAAACCGGTATTTAAGCACACTGTCACATTATACCATTTGAATCAGTGTGCGGGGTCTTAATGTGGCCCTTTCTTTTGTACAAAGCCTGCCCTAGAATGATTCTTAGTGCTTTGAAACTTCCTTCTCCATCAATGAAAGGGGTGAAAGAAAGAAAAGAGAAAAAGCAAGCAAGTGTGCCAGTGCCCTGTCCTTTAATTTTCCCTGAAGCCCTTTGTAAGGGACTTGGTATGAAGTGAAAGCACAGTGTGCAGCTGTCCTCTTGGCCCGCTCCTCGCTTTTTTTGTGAAACGTCTTCTCAAGAATACTAATAGTGATACCAGCATCATGGAGTCCACCCAGCTGGCAAGAAAACAGACAACAGTTATTCTACCATCAAAGAAGGCCATTTAATGTGACACAAGTTACTGAGCTGTGTGTGCCGACTCCTTACCAGGGATCTACTTGATATACAGGAGGTCAATTCTTGTAGTACCGTACCTTGCAGAAGACAACTAGAGGCTCTGAGGCTCATATTGAGAAAGTTTATGGAAAAAACTAAGTGATGTGATAACATATATGGCTGTTTAAACCATCATCTTTAACGCTCTTTGCAAATTACAGCTTTATTGGATCAGTGGTATCAGCAAAGCACTAATCAGTGCAAAAGCTCCACCTTCCTTAGCTGTTAATGACGGAGATTGTGATCTCCGTCATTACAAGAACAGTAAAAATTTAAGATTATCAGTGGTGTGATTGTTGCTACTGCTGGACTCGATGTGTTGGATTGTCTGCGCTGGGTTGGGGTTTAAAATTTGGCATTGTAAAAACACACTGGTCTTCCACTAAGAAACAGAGATCCTGTTAGGCACCGGATAGTCATGCTGATTAGAGAGCGAGAGGGAGAGAGGAAATTTAAATCCACCAATCAAATGTCCACCAGCTGTCAGTTGCTTCCACCTGTGTCGCTCAAGCCCGGTTAGTTACCATGGTCATGGCATTTTGTGTAACTCAGAGTATCCAACCGTCCAAATCTCTCAAACGAGCTTCGCTCACCTCTTGTGAAACTGCTTATATCCTCTACACAGGTTTAAAAAGCATAAGGATCCCAAGTCATTGCTCCACAGTATCTGTAATTTTTTTTTAATGTTTCTGATGTTAAAATTGTGGTCGCAGGGGTGAGATAGAAATAGAGATCACTTTCATTTTTCTCCAGAAACCCTCGATCACTCAGATGCCTTGAGATCTAAAAGTGCAAGTCTGTTGACTTGGAGGAACAGAGCATTTGAAAAAAGACTAATTTTCCTATGAGTCAGTGATAAAATGACATGTGTGGCATGAAAATTGTGGCCTCTGCCACAATTTTAAGTTTCTGCTTCTCCCACTATGTCAGTTAATCACTCGGTATACTGTAAATACTAAACTTTCTTTTGAAAGAAAACACAAGCAGGCGTCACAGGTTTTTACAGTGCTTGAACTGTGTTTCTATGTTTTTTTTGTACAGCAATATACAGTCAGATTGCTTGCTTTGCAATGGTGCCACCGGTTATTACCACCAGCCTCACATTGTACACATCCTCGTCATGGTGCCAAAACAGTTCTGACCCATTTGGGCACAGAAGGAGACCAGGGAATCCTCTGGGTCCTGTGGTTTGTGGGCTGGGTCTTAATGCGATCAGGATTATTTAGACGTCTGTCGTTGATGCTCAGTCTAGTTATGCTGTTGCAGAGAGCATTCTTCTGTTGGGGGAGAGTGCTGCCATCGTGCTGTGCTGTTCGTTTAGGCTGAGCAGAACATTGCAGTATAATGAGATTATTAATGGTATTTACTCCAACTTCAAGTGTTGTGGCTGAAGTTAATACTATAAAGACTTGTATTGTACAGTGTAAAATTTCTGTTTTATAATAAAAGAAATTTCTTATCCGACAACTTTAGGTAGCAAGATTAAAGGTCTAACCTTGCACTATCAGTGTTTCTGGTGAAGTGTGAGGTTGGTTGAATATGACACTGACAGGAATACTGATGAAACACCTTGACGACTGTTGAAACTGTCCAGTATTTAATTGTTTTTCAATGACGGCCCAATCAGGAGGTTGTGTGAAGTCGCTGTGGATGTCTTGCCACGGCTGCTGGGTTAATAACAGGGCCAGGCTGGTGACGGAGAACTGGCAGGATGCCGCTGGGCTGAAATGCCATGTCATTAGCTCCTGGAGGTGATGAATGAATTGTGGTCAGGAACCTCTGCTTCCAGCTTCCTTTCGAAAACCAGAGAAGTTGGTCTTTTATACTGTATGGCTGAGCTTTTTTTGGGACACATGTGTTTTACTCAGAGCTTCTGCTCCAAAGTTACAACTTAAAACAAAAGGTCTTTCTCACAAAATTTTATAGTTATTGTATTTTTTTAATGTTTAAACTCTGTTGCCAGTTTTCTAGTGTGCTCAGCTAAAACTAATCCTGACTTATAGGAAAAAGGCCTGCTGTAAATTGTAGTTTTATGAGAACCATAATGCTCAGTGTTTGTTGAAGCAGTTTCACTGATGTGTTGAGGCCAAGTTTATGGTAAATTTAAAAGCTCTGGTATTATACTGAGACCTGTTTCTGACATTTTATGGGATAGAAATTACATTTGTGCAGCTAATAAAACATTATTACAGCTCCTTTATGTCAGCGGGATAACACCAAGTCTGTTCAATATAATGTGGATAGTTATTTCAGTCTTTCAACTGATATCCTGAAAACTGAAACTGAATCCCTCAGTTTTCTTATGTGTCTGGGACATTTGTTCCTTCTTATAGGTTAGATAAGATAAGATGAACCGACACAACATATGACCTCCGATGTCAGAAATCATTGTACTTATTAAAAATCCATTTTTATTTAATTCTACATATTTGTGAAATTGGAAGAAAAATATCTGCTTTTCTTCTTCATTTTATTTATTTTATTAATAGTTTTATTGTGTTTGCCTTTTTAATCTCCACAGACATGTGCAGATACTTCCACTTCTTTATGCAGTCTGCCATCTCACACTGGCCTTTCCCACCCAAACTCTACGGTACACATACGGTACGGTGTCTACATTTCCCCTGATCACTTTTTGATTCCATAAACAGAGACTACAAAAGTGCATTGAGAAGTGGGAGCATGATTCACTTTTCTTTTCTTTTTATTAATTTCCAGATGAGGTGGAGCAGCTCCACGTGAGCATCCCCCACTCAGGACCAGTTGTTGCTCCACTGAGCAGCTCCATTTCCATCCCTTGTGTGGTGTCTCTGTCCCCCATCTCCAACTCCACCTCCGCGACGCCTGTTGTACCGAGGGTCAAGTGGTCAGTCATATCAAGGGGGGTTGAAACGCAGATCTTAGTGGTACGGGGTCACAAGGTGAAGGTCAATGAAGCGTACCGAGACCGAGCGGCGTTGCTCAACTACACCTCCTTCCCTGATGATGCGTCACTTTGGTTGGGAGATCTGCGCTCCAGCGACTCGGCTCACTACCGCTGCGAGGTGCAGCAGGGCCTGGAGGACGCCAGTGACCTCGTGGAGCTCAAGGTCAAAGGTAACGCGATGAAAGACATGGCTCATTAGTAAAGTTTGGGGTAGATTACACAGAATTATTAGAGACTGTGTTTTTTAACTACAATTCTCAGAAAAAGAAAGAAAAACCACAAGAAGGATACTGACTCTGCTAAAACTCCTGTGTTTTGAAATCATATCGCAGTTTGATTATTGGTTCCACACTGTGATTTTGGTAAGAAAATATCTGAATCTCTCATCTTAGTAGAATCCACTGAAAACTGCCTGAACCCAAAGATACCCAATCCTCTGTGTAATGATAATTAATGAGTTGTTTCTAGTTGTGTAGCTCAGTTTCCAGCTCAGTTTCTTTCCATTTAGTAAGATGTCTTTGTTCCTGGAGCTTTTCCAAATTATTGACTTAAAACAGTTGAAACAGGTAATGCAGTTAATGTATTTGTAGGTATGTTATTATGTGCATGCTGTGTGTGTTTTTAGGTGTTGTGTTCCACTACAGAGATGCTTTGGGTCGGTATGCCTTCACCTTCCATCAGGCCCAGAGGGCTTGTGAGGCCATCGGGGCACGAATCGCCACCGCCGACCAGCTGCTTGCATCTTATTACGACGGATATGAGCAGTGTGACGCGGGCTGGCTCGCAGACCAGTCTGTCAGGTATTTCATCACCTGTGTGCCCTCTGTATCATGCTCACAGTACAACTTATTAAAAAGACAGAGATAGATAAAACATATCTTACAGGCTCATGCAGCTGATATAGATGTTTTTGTTGTTTTACTCGACTTCTTGATATAAGTTTGTAATCACTGACGTCTTCATCGGTCAGACAGTGTTTCAGAGGTTGCTTACTTACAAAGTATAGCGGTACCGTTCTCCACCTGCCCCTCAGGTGTGCTTCACATCTCAATACAAACAAAATTATCTTACTATGGTAGCAACATTACAAAACAATGTCATATTATACTTACCTAACATAAGAAACCACTCACCAACCTCTAAACTGACCCATTTATGCACCTATAACAACTTCATTAGCAACACACTGTCCACCCTCTTTAACTGTATAGTGCAATATTCATTTCTGTTAAACATACACCCATACAGTAAAAGAGGCTCATGACAATAAAATCTAATTTATATGAATGACACCATCTAACAATGATGTAAAAAAACATTTTATATAGTAGAACAGCACCTGAGTATTGCAAGGGACCCACAAAACTAGTTTACTGTATTTAGAGACTATATCAAAAATGTAATGTCAGTTAAATAACTGTATAAATGTACTTAAGGCAATGAGATTTGAAACTATGTGTCAAACCCACAAGATCAAAATGGCATGCCATTATATGCATGTTGTCGATATACATAGGTAAATTGGAGTTGGAGTGGAGTTATGAAATCCTGTATTACCTACCATCCATCCATCAGCATAAACAAAGGAAACAATAAAGTAGCATGGGCATGTAGGCCTTTTAGTATGATAAAAAAAACCACCCAGACTCTTAAATAACATTATAGTTATTGTATATAGTTATTGTTATATGTAAATACATTATATTTGTGTTGCTCTATAAGTACCCATGTGTGAGCTGGTTATTGAGTGGCCACAGAGTAAACGTGTCATAACATTACCAGTTGGTAATGTTGCAGATTTACCAAGCTATCGCCAAATGCAGCATTGATGTTATGTCACATGTTTGTCGAGTCTTAAGTGAGGATGATGGTTGTTTTGCTGCTTTGTTGCAGGTATCCAATCCAAGTGCCTCGTGAAGGCTGCTATGGAGACATGGATGGGCAACCAGGAGTGAGAAACTATGGGACAATGGATCCAGATGATCTGTTCGATGTTTATTGTTATGTAGACGAAATTAATGGTAGGAATTTAACAGTTTAATAACTTCTATATGTAAATAGTAGGATTTGGGTTTTTTGTTTTTTTGCCAGTAGGCTTAATGCAATAATGATACATCTGGCCTAATTTGTCAGTAAGTCAAATTATACATTTTACATTTGGAAAACGGCATTAGGGATCTGTGATGGACAATAACTATTACAATGATTTTATTTAGTTCAAACATATAATTATATGTTTTTACTTTCTGTAGTGAAATGTCATGCGTCACATCAGATAAAAACATGCCACTTACTATATACAAATATCCATTATAAATTAAGACTGGCACATAATTGCAGTCGTGCCATTATGTGCCAGCATTTTACTCACTTGTATCCAGAAAAAGTAAAAGACTGAACAAATTTTCTGTCTGTAGGGGAGGTTTTCCATGACTTCATCCCACAGCAATTAACATTTAATGAAGCGCAGTCGTACTGCAGAGCTGCAGGGGCAGAGCTGGCTACAACAGCACAGCTTTACTTGGCTTGGAGTGAAGGACTGGACCATTGCAGCCCTGGCTGGCTGTCTGATGGCAGCGTACGGTACCCCATCATAACCCCAAGGGAACGCTGTGGGGGTGCTCTGCCTGGCGTCAAAACTCTCTACCAATTCAGCAACCAGACTGGCTTCCCAGAGCCATCCAGCCTTCATGATGTTTACTGTTTCAAAGGTGATAATGTTGTGCCTTTAAATGCAAACTGTTGATTGTTAATTTGACAAAAACTCTAAAGTGGACCTTTTATGATTTTCCCTTTTTTGGCTCGTATTTACTCAGTTTCTCCCTGGGATTAATACAGTTTCTCTAATTTGATCTGATTTAACAAGGCCACAGTTTGATATAATAACATCCTGCTTCAGATTGCAATAAATACCTGGCTTCAAAAAGGTCTGGTCTGTAATCTACAGTGGCTTGCAAAAGTATTCGGCCCCCTTGAACTTTCCCACATTTTGTCACATTACAGCCACAAACATGAATCAATTTTATTTGAACACGTGAGAAGTGGAACAAAAATCATACATGAGTCCAAACATTTTTTACAAATAAATAACTGAAAAGTGGGGTGTGCGTAATTATTCAGCTCCCTGAGTCAATACTTTGTAGAACCACCTTTGCTGCAATTACAGCTGCCAGTCTTTTAGGGTATGTCTCAACCAGCTTTGCACATCTAGAGACTGAAATCCTTGCCCATTCTTCTTTCCAAAACAGCTCCAGTCAGATTAGATGGACAGCATTTGTGAACAGCAGTTTTCAGATCTTGCCACAGATTCTTGGCCGGATTTAGATCTGGACTTTGACTGGGCCATTCTAACACATGGATATGTTTTGTGTTAAACCATTCCATTGTTGCCCTGGCTTTATGTTTGGGTCGTTGTCCTGCTGGAAGGTGAACCTCCGCCCCAGTCTCAAGTCTTTTGCAGACTCCAAGAGGTTTTCTTCCAAGATTGCCCTGTATTTGGCTCCATCCATCTTCCCATCAACTTCCCTGTCCCTGCTGAAGAGAAGCACCCCCAGAGCATGATGCTGCCACCACCATATTTGACAGTGGGGATGGTGTGTTCAGAGTGATGTGCAGTGATAGTTTTCCGCCACACGTAGCGTTTTGCATTTTGGCCTAAAAGTTCCATTTTGGTCTCATCTGATCAGAGCACCTTCTTCCACATGTTTGCTGTGTCCCCCACATGGCTTGTGGCAAACTGCAAACAGGACTTCTTATGGTTTTCTGTTAACAATGGCTTTCTTCTTGCCACTCTTCCATAAAGGCCAACTTTGTGCAATGCACGACTAATAGTTGTCCTATGGACAGATTCCCCCACCTGAGCTGTAGATCTCTGCAGCTCGTCCAGAGTCACCATGGGCCTCTTGGCTGCATTTCTGATCAGTGCTCTCCTTGTTCAGCCTGTGAGTTTAGGTGGACGGCCTTGTCTTGGGGATCATTTCTGAATGATCGCTTGAACAGTGCTCCGTGGGATATTCAAGGCTTGGGAAATCTTTTTGTAGCCTAAGCCTGCTTTATATTTCTCAATAACTTTATTCCTGACCTGTCTGGTGTGTTCTTTGGACTTCATGGTGTTGTTGCTCCTAATATTCTCTTAGACAACCTCTGAGGCCATCACAGAGCAGCTGTATTTGTACTGACATTAGATTACACACAGGTGCACTCTATTTAGTCATTAGCACTCATCAGGCAATGTCTATGGGCAACTGACTGCACCCAGACCAAAGGGGGCTGAATAATTACGCACTCGCCACTTTGCAGTTATTTATTTGTAAAAAATGTTTGTAATCATGTCTGATTTTCGTTCCACTTCTCACGTGTACACCACTTTGTATCGGTCTTTCACGTGGAATTCCAATAAAATTGATTCATGTTTGTGGATGTAATGTGACAAAATGTGGGAAAGTTCAAGTGGGCCGAATACTTTTGCAAGCCACTGTATATGATGGCATCTGTATATGAAGATAACCTGGTAATCTCAAACACAGCTTGAAACTTGGCTTGAAGGGAGATGGGCCCAAACATATTGATTTAGACAGAGAATGAACTGAGAGTTCATATCAAAGCCCATCATCAGATAAATAAGCATTATTTTGACTGTTATGACTCATGAAAAGCTACTCTAGAAGGGAATAAAAATATGATGTTGGAACAATATGTAGTGCATATTTAACAAGAAAGAAAGCATAACTAGATTTGTTTGTTCCATATTTCACATGTTACATTTAATTGTTTGTCTGCTCTCTGCAGAAAACAGAAATGCTTCCACTGACTCTCCGATGGACTATGTGGGCACAGAACCTGAAGACATTGAACACAATGTTGTTATTCTTACGGAAAAATATCAAGAAATTCAGTTGAACCAACTAGCAGAACAGGTGGAGCGAGAGGCCCAGAGCATGCTTGAATCATTGCCTTATTTTACTGTCTCTGTAACTACAGAAAGCCCGGTTGATACACACCCAATGCTGATATCAGACACAACAGAGTCTCCCCTCCACACAACGCCTGCACTACACGAGCCGCTCGACCAAACTTTATCTCCCACAGAAATGAGCTACGATTCCCAGCATCCTACAGCACTGATGAGCAGCACTATCACAGAAACCCACAATTCAGCAGAGAACACATCATTTCTGCCCACTGATTACAATGAAACATATTCCAGCCAGAACTCGAGTCTCACCTTTCAGCAGTCTGAAAGACCCACATTTGAGCCTGAGATGCAGAACCAGACAGAGCCAGACACAAATATTGAAGTAAACACAGAGCCATCTGGAACTCTGAATGAGACCAAAGAAGTACAACAGACCACCCTGTCTTTTAACAAATCAGAACCCAACTACAGTGAGACCGACAGCAACCGTACTAAAGAGGACAGTTTATTGGAGGCTACTACTTTAACCCTTAACCCCATGGTTGAAGTGGAGCTGGAGGAGACCCGTGTAGACTCTGAGCAGATGTTTCCCCCAACTGAGGCCTCAAAAGAAGAAGAAGAAGAGGCAACACTTCTTACACAATTATCCCAAACTACTGAATCTACTCCGGAGGTGCTAACCTCAGTGTGGGCTCCTTTGGATGGTTCTGGAGATATTTCTGAAGGTATGTGCATGTCCCACAAAAGTTCAAACATTATTATCTTAGATAAATTACTTTCTTGTCAAGAGTTAGGCTAGCATGAGATATCCATGTCACATTTTATGTTTTTTATTATAATAGAAGAACTAAAAGGGTTATATTCTGGACTACCTTCTGGCTAAGAGCTGTAACGTCCTAGAGTTTGGTCACCTATGTGAAGAGGGCAGATTTTGTTACCTTCTGAAAAGCTAGCTGTTTTCCTGTTTCTAATCGTTTTGGTCTGAAGGTCAGAGATTGACAGTAGACTTATTGTTTCTTCTAATTTTTCTCATCCAAGCAATTAAATATACTTCTCAAAAACAATATGTAATCCCATAATGTTCTATGCTCTTTTCCAGAAAGCAAACTCGATATGAGTCCAGCCAGTTTCATCTCCACATCAGATTCCTCAACTTCTGGCTTCACCACTCACCCGTCTCCCATTGCTTCTGCCAGCAGCACCCATGCTGAACCTCAGACAGTGGTTCCACATTTGACAGCCTCATCTCAGTCACCCCTTTCTGACAAACTGGGCTTGGATATTCTTTCTACAGCCTCACAGCTGTGGGAGTCCCCCAACTCTAAACAGGAGGGAAGTGCAAGCTTAGAAATTGAAGACACGCTCAGTTTGGAAAATGAGGATAAAATGCTGCCCACATCAAAATCTGAAGACCTGCAAGTGTCTGGAGCAAGTTCAGTTACCACTCGCTCTCCAGACGTCTCAAACACTTCTCACTCATCCACCAGTTCGCCCACAGCACTATATCTAACATCAGGCTACAGAATGTATTTGGATACTGTGACCGATACTTATGAAGAAGCAAGTGGTCATGTACCTGATACACTTAGGACCACCCTTCAAGAAGACATAAAATTTGCTCCAACCTTTGAAGGTGAAGTGTCTTTAACTCTTGAAGAGGAAGCCAACATTTCCGTTTCTCTGGAAAAAGAAATAAAAATTTCCCCAACCCTTGCTCTTCAAAAAGAAGCAAATTTTTCTTTAAATTTTGAAGAAGAGAACATTGTTTCTCTAACGGTTGATTTTGAAGAAAATGTTTCCTCAGCCCATGAAAGTAATGCTGTCCCAACTGCTGTTTTTAAAGATGAAGAAGCTAATATTACGCCTACCTTTGAGTATGAAGAAAAGATAAATGCTTCTTTAACCCTTAAAGAGGAAGCTGATGTTCTCCCAACTATTGTCCTTGAAAAAGAACCTAATCTTTCCTCAAACATGAGCTTGCAAGAAAAGGCTAACACTTCCTCAGCTCTTGAAAAAGAAGCCAATATTTCTCCTACCTTTGAGTATGAAGAAAAAGCCAACACCTCTTCAACCCTTGAAGAAGAAGCTAATGGTTCTACTACCTTTGAGTATGAAGAAAAGGCTAACACGTCCTCAGCTCGAGTCTTTGAACAAGCTAATGTTGCTCCTTCCTTTGAGTATGAAGAAAAGGCTAACACGTCCTCAGCTCGAGTCTTTGAACAAGCTAATGTTGCTCCTTCCTTTGAGTATGAAGAAAAGGCTAACACGTCCTCAGCTCGAGTCTTTGAGCAAGCTAATGTTGCTCCTTCCTTTGAGTATGAAGAAAAGGCTAACATGTCCTCAGCTCGAGTCTTTGAACAAGCTAATGTTGCTCCTTCCTTTGAGTATGAAGAAAAGGCTAACACTTCTTCAACCCATGTCTATGAACAAGCTAATGTTAGCACAGCTCTTTTTACTGAGAAAGAAGCTGATGTTTCCTCAGCCCTAGAAGAAGATAGTGATTTTTCCCAAACTGTTGTGCTTGATGAAGACGAAGCCAACGTTATCCCAATCCGTGTCTTTGAAGAAGAGGCTACTGTTGCCCCGACCCTCGAAGATGAAACTAATGTTTCCCCGACATCTCAAGAGAAAACTGATGCCTCTGAGGACTTCGCCATCTTTCCTTCCAGTTCTCAAACATCCAAGTGGGATCTGTTGACCAGCACAACTCAACCCCAAGAATCTCGCAATGAGTACAGCCAAAAAACCTCCACAGCAGCTTCAAGTTCTTCTCGAGGTACAAAGCCCACAAAGACGACCACTGTCGCCACCACAACCACAACCGCAGCTACCACCACCACCACCACACACCGGTCCAGACACACCTGGAGCCCAACCACCACCACCCCCAAAATGTTGATACCACCAGTGGGTCACGCTCTGGAAGATGTTGACATTACTTTCACCCAGCCGCCAACTCTGCTTATCATGCCCAATGAGAGGGCAGCCGTAGGCGGTACTGGGAAATCTTCAGGTAATGTTAATGCCACTTTCATCAGTCTAACCGTCCTCTTCCTGCTCGACACAGTGATGCACTAAAACTCCTCGTCTTTCCTCTGCCCAACCTGCCTCTGCTCCATTTTCTGTAAAACACCCGTCCTGCTTTTCAAATGACTTCCCACGTTTTTTTCACCTGTTGTCTCAGCAAGCCCACTCACCCTTCTGACTCTTCCCACTTCCCCTTAAACACTCCTTACTCCTCTCCTTGTGACTCCCCCGCTCTACCCTCCAAGATTCTCACACTGGGACAGCTCCCATTTGACATTTGTCCACAGTCCAGTCTTGTTATGCATTATGTTTTTTCCTCATCCAAAGAATGACTTCTGTGAAGTACTGTATTTACTAGTGTTTTTGAATGACGGGTTTCTTCTCCAGTGAGGACCTGCCAGAGTGATGGTTATAGCTAAATTCATCAGATTTTATTTGTAAATCATCCATCTCTGGACCTAACAGGTGCAAAAGATATTATAAAATCATTTTCTTCTTGCTATCTTTCAATTTTCATAGTATCTTTTCCATTAATTGGGAAGCAACATAATAAGGGACTTAATCGTTCTCTGGAAAGTAACAATTACTTTGAATGTAACAGCACTGACCAATGAAGCTGCAGTAATGCTTTATATTTAAGTCTTAACTGATTTTCTTTCTTCTTTTTCATTGCTGTTTTAGTCACTGTGGTACAAAAAGCACAGATTATTATGTTTACAAGCACAAAACCTTTTCATTGTAGATTGCACGAGTGTTTGCATTTAGCAACATGTTCACGTGTCCTTTTGTCATTAATGTTTCATACTCGACTTAAAAATTGTTGTTTAATCACAGTTGTTCTAGATTTGTATTGTGTTTTTAGGTCTAATAATGATAAAGGCAACAAATCTTTATTGGTTTCTTGTCTTACCACAAGTTGATAAATGCATTACTTTATATTCCTTCCCTTTGGTACATTCGTTTTTTTGACTTCATGTGGCAGCTGTGGATATTGATGCATTGTATGGAAGCTTATTTGTTCCACAAAACAAACAAACAAACATAAAACACAGTTCTCATGGTTTTAAATTCATCTTTTAAATGAAATATTTTTGAATTTTAATTCTCTTATTTAAAACTGCACTTTATTTTTCCATTGGAGCACTTGGCTTCCATATAATCGGGTTTATTGAATCTTCAAAAGAAGCAGCTGCCATTGTGGACTCAACTTCAAGAAATATGGGAAATTTAGGATGGAAACTTATTTAAGAGAAAAGCTGCTTTTAAGCTCTTAACATCCACCAGGTCACCAACAAACCATTTAAGGCTTGACTTGCAATTCATCAAGCACAGTTTCAGAAACTGGAAAAAGTCGACTTCAGAGTTCTTCTATTAAGATTTCCATGTGGGTATGTCAATAAAGGCCACTGACAACCTGGTGTATGTTAATATTGTAAGTCAAACACTATTCAGAATAATTCAGCTTTTGAAAAAAAACTAAGATATCGTGTGGATCTTGAGAAACAAAATATTTACACTAAAAATCTTTACTGAATGTAGAATTCGAGGTAAACGAAATTGAGAACTGTAGATTCGAAATCACAGCAAAAAAAACGTTAAAAAAAAATCAAAATCACAGTCGGATCCAACTTGTCTCATGATGTAGCAGTAATGTTTATTGCCCCATGTGCACTCCTGACAATGTGACAATGTCTGGTCATGCTCCTGACTCGATGGCAGGTGGTGTTGTGGGGGATCTACTCCCAGACCTGAATCTCAGAGGCTCTCAATAAGATTCAGGTCTGGGGGATGTGTGGGTAAATCAATGGCATCAACGCATTGGTTCCCCAATAACTGCCTATACACACCGGCCACCCACTCTCAAACCAGAATGCGTAATGTTTGTCACAGCTTTTCCAGACTTTTTCGCCTCTGTCACAGAAGCTCAGTGTGAACCTGCTCTTTTTTGTGAGGTGAAAATGGCTACAGTGGTGGACCTGCCAGTACTGGTGTTCTCTGGCAAATGCCAATTGAGTTGTACGATGCTGAGCTGTGAGCACAAGTCCCAGTAAAAGATGCTGTACTGTCACGCCACCCTCATGGAGTCTGGATCTGATGGTTTGATCAGAAACACGCACATAAGTAACCTGCAGGAGGTTAAGGTTTTTGATAGTGCTTCTCCTGTTCCTCCATCCACATTGGAGCAGAAATTATTTTGCTGTTGGCTTAATGCCCATCTACAGCCCTGTCCAGCTCTCCTCACCGAAAAACATGTGTACTGGTATCTCCTCCACACTCAATAGTCACAATAGTCTGTGGCCGCCATATGCCAAACCTTATTACTTTAATTTGGACACAAGCGGGCTTTACTTGCTGTTGTTTTAACCTCCTGAGACCTGAACTCTTTCATGGCATGCATTTTTAATTTCTCTTTGCTGTTTGGGCTGATTGGGACCTGATGAATATAAAAAAACAAAGAATTACCAGATTTTTTTTTACCTGATTTTTGTTTCTGAGAAAAATGAGATCCACATATGAGGACATTCATTTTAAATTTTGATAGCGCAGTGGAAGTATAATGTCCTCGTAAGTGGATATTAGGCCCTTGTAGAGCAAAATTTTGTATTTTGGTTTAGACAGCCCAAAATGTGATGTCCACATACAACACATGTGGATGCCAGGTCCTAGGAGGTTAAGTAAAGTTTATATATTTTAAGTAAGTAAGTAAGCTTTTCATGGTTTTACTCCACAAATGGACTCATAAAGATGAAAAATATGGAAAACATGTGCATTCTCCAAGCTGCACTTCTATTACAAGACAATTTTCAAGCATCCAAACTGTTTGCCTTCCCCCCAAAAACCTCAGTATTACATAGATTAGTGCATGCAGAAGCCTTTCCTATTTCTCATACATAATTTCAGCTTCAGCACCATAATTAAGCCTTTTTTGGGGTGAATAATGATCTTTATACAATGGACTCTTCATGGTGATAAAATACTGCAGTCGGCAGCCTAAAGAGGAAAGGAGGCAGAGAAACACAATGAGAAAGTCATCAATCATTCAGTAATTGAAATTACTAGCCTTGCATTGTCGTCTGCAGACAAGTTATTGTTGTGTTGTTTGACAAAAGGGAAGGAAATCGGCTCACAGATGGAGCCGTGAATCTAAACTCTGTTTCTGTTGAAAAGCAAACAAAAACAAGTCTCAGATGTGAACACCGTCACAGTATAAAGTTTCATTTTTTGATAGGTAAGACTTGAAAGGCACCTCAGTGGTTTTCCATCCACCATCTGTGTATTCTTCATCAAAACTGAATGATGGTTTAACTTTGAGTGCACGTGAATCTCATTTGATTCGTGTAAAGCAGTTATTACCTTTCATACACACGATCTGAGCAATGAAAGAGATTTCTGAAGAGAGCAATATGTGGGGATAATGACAGGCAGCACATAGTTCTTGTTTACAGGGTGTCAAAGGAAGCAAACAAACCGAATCCACTTGTAAAATGTTTAATTCCAGCTTGAACACTCATGGTTTCGTTTTTCCTTTGTTTTACAAATTTAGAAAAGCAAAATGAAGCTTCAGAAGTGTTTTTCTCTTTAGATATCATCTGATTGTGATAAATATAACAAGATGCCAGTAGACATTCCCCAACCCCCCTGCAGACCCAGAACTAGATAAGCAGTTAGGAAAATGGATAAATATACAGTACACACGAAGTATTCACAGTGCTTCACTTGTTCCACGTTTTGTCCAGTTACAGCATTATTCCAAAACCCACTAAATTCCTTTTTTGACATTGAAATTCTACATACAATACCCCATAATGACAAAGTGAAAAAAGTTTGCTTGAAATTTTTGCAAACTTATTAAAAATCAAAAATCAAAAATATAACATGTACATAAGTACTCACAGCCTTTGCTTACGACTTTTTTGAAGAACCTTTAGTAGCACTTAAAGCCTCTTTTTGACTATGATGCTACAAACTGGGCACACCTGTTTTTGGACAGTTTTTTTCTTTGCAGAACTTCTGGAGCTCCATCGGGCTGGATGGGGAGCATCGGTCCGCAGTCATTTTCAGATCTTGGGTTGAAGACTGGGCTCTGGCTGAACTAATTAAGAACATTCACAGAGTGATCCCGAAGGCACTCCTTTGTTTCTTGAGTTAGTGCCGAGGGTATTTGTCCTGATAGAAGATGTCCAAGGTCCACAGTACTCTGGAGCAGGTTATCAACAAGGATGTCTCTGTACATTGCAGTATCCTTATTTCCCTTGACCCTGACTACTCTCCCAGTTCCTGCTGCTGAAAAACATCCCAGCATGATGCTACCACCACCATGCTTCACTCTACGGATGTTATTGTCCATGTGATGAATTCTGTTTGGTTTCTTCCAGACATGGCACTTCATGTTCAGGTTAAAAAGTTTAGTTGCCTTTTAGCAAACTCCAAGTATGCCCTCATGTGCCTCCTACTGAGCAGTGGTTTTAGTCTGGCCGCTCTACCATACAGGCCTGACTGGTGGAGTGCTGCACAAATGGTTGTCCTCACAGGGTAATGCTGTTACTCTGTCAATGTGAACAGAGTGGATTCTTGGTCACCTCAATGATTAAGGCCTGTCTACCCCAATCGTTCAGATTGGCCAGGAGGCTAATTCTGAGTCCTGGTGGTTCCAAATTTCTCCCATTTACGGTTGATGGAGGCCACTGTGCTCATTGGTACAATCCTGATACAATCCTGTCTTGGCGCTCTACAGACAGTTCTTTGGACTTCATGGCTTGGTTTGTGCTCTGGCATGCGCTGTTAGCTAAGAGACCTTATAAAGACAGTTGTGTCTTTCTAAATTGTTTCCAGTCAACTTAATGCACCACAAGTGGACTCCAACTAAGTTGTAAAAATGTCTGACTTTGATGAACAGTGGAAACAGTATGTAACGTAGCTAAATTTTCAGTGTCAATGCAAAGGCTGTGAATACTTTTATGTTTTTGCAGACATGTGATGCAAACAGGGAATTTGCAGAGTGCCTTCTGGTGGACAAACTATGCAATGTCAACATTTAGCACGGCTGAAGGGTGTTTCTTTAGTTTTTTTCATCTTTTTAAAATTTTCACTTATAAATGTACACAATTCAACATTTTAATGAAAAGCAGCAGCAGGTCAGAAGGTGGTCAGTTGAATATTACTGTCCAATGACTTTAAAAAGGGCATGTTTTTCTCATCTCATCATCTCATCTTTTGATTAAAATGGTAAACAAAGCAAACAAAAGAGTTCATTGTACCACTGGCACACCAGCAAATCAGTGCATACCGCTTAATAAAATGACCAGTGGGCCCTTTTTTTAATTGTTAGAACCACAGGGCTCCATATTATAGGAAACAACCCCCACCCTCCCAACATTAATACATCCATGTCTAGATTCCCTCTTCCACAAGATTTTTGAGAGCGTTTATTACTAATGAAGAAATGAAGAAGAAAGAGAAGGAAGCATCGCACACATGCCAGAAGAAGATTTGACGATTTTTCCCTCTCAGGCCACGCTGTAAAGGTTCTCCTCTGCTGCCATCTGTTGGCTAACATCGACCCTGATGCCCTTTAGTTTCTAAATGGTTCCTGCTACATTTACTTACAGCTGTTTACCTAATGTCAGCATACGTGCTTCAACTGCCTTCTAATTAACACAGGCACCAATTAGACTTACACATAAATGAAGGCTGTCTTCCTGTACATGTGTAATTATTCAGTTACATAACAAATGAGTCTTTGACCAGTGGTTTCAGGTGCACAGTGATTTAAAGTTGCCCTCTGTTGTGTTTCAGATGCCTGTTTGCTCAACCCCTGTCTTAACGGAGGCACCTGCACGGACAGAGGTGGTCACATTAAATGCCTCTGTTTGCCGACGTATGAAGGAAACTTCTGTCAGGCCGGTGAGCTCGCTTCTGCTCTTTAATGGACGTTACATATGATGGGAATCAGCCAGAAGTTTCCAAACAAAAATAAGCCAAGCAGTAATTTTCTTACAATGCAGCCTGAAGTGAAAATTATATAATTATTCAGTATAAAAGCCTGCAGATACATCTGAAGACTCTTGTTGGTTTGGCTGTCCTGTTCTCTTCTCTGTGATGTTTTCAGACCGGGAGCGATGTGAACCGGGCTGGGATAAATTTCACGGTTTCTGCTATCGACACTTCAGCCAGCGTCTGAGCTGGGAGGCTGCAGAGCAGCATTGCCGCATGATGGGAGCTCACCTGGTGTCCATAATAACCCCTGAAGAACAGGCTTACATCAACAGTAGGTTTCCTTAACACATTTGGGAACGAGAAAACAATGTGGCTTTCATTTCTTTCCTCATAAATTCAATTCCACTTCTTGGTCAACAGACAACTACAAGGAATACCAGTGGACCGGTCTGAATGACAAGACCATTGAGGATGATTTCCACTGGTCTGATGGGAACCCACTGGTGAGGAGGTTTTATTATGTGTGCAAAAAACAAAACAAAACTGCAGAGTACAAAAAAACAAAAACAGGGAAATGCTCAAACTGGAGAACCAGACACCCGGTGTATTAATTAAGATCTACTTTCTATTTATCAAGATTCTTTTTCTTTTGCAGCCACGATAACTAAAATATATTGTTTCTTTGTGTTTGCTTCGTGATTAATTTTAGTTGCCTTGTAGTCTATTTAAGTTACTTGGAAGTTTTGATGTCAGATTGCATGCTATCCAGCACCTGTGCTTAGTTACATTTTTCTGGGTTCTAGAACATCTGAGGGTGACGGGGAATGAAACACTGATGCATTTGCTAGGCAGGCACTGAGATGTGACCGTAAAATTGAACCTAAAAGGCAATTATGTCAAGTGGTAGCACAAACAACAAGGGAAAAAAAAAGACACAGTGAAAACAGTGAGGAATCCAGCGACCCCTTGTGAATAAGGGAGCATCTGAAAGTAGCACATCTGTAGGTTATTATTATGATGGCCAGGATGATCATGAATGAAAATCTATTATCATAACGAGTTTTGCTGTTTATGTTTTTCTTTTTGAAACCTCTTATGTAAGACACAAACCAAGCAGGATGCAGGAAGGCACCAGACTATTAAATATTAACTACCTCAAAGAAGAAGAGGAGAATGAAAACATTATGTATATTATGCTTTTTCAACTATTTCTATTGTGATTATTGTTTCTTTGTATACACATAAAAATAACATACATAACACATACCTCACAGCTTTATGAGAATTGGTACAGGGGTCAGCCAGACAGCTACTTTCTCTCCGGAGAGGACTGTGTGGTGATGGTGTGGCACGATAACGGACGCTGGAGCGATGTGCCCTGCAACTATCACCTTTCATACACCTGCAAGAAAGGCACCTGTGAGTAACACTAATGGGACATCATTAAGAGCACTTCATTACTCATTAACTCCCTCGTGAGCTTGATGCTTCGAGCTGTTTTCTACTTATTCTAGCCCAGAGAAGGCACTTAAGCATCTTAACTCCTCCCACAGCCTCCTGTGGACCACCACCAAGGGTCAGAAATGCCTCCATATATGGAAAAGCTCGACAGACTTACGAGACCAACGCCGTGGTGCGCTATCGATGCGCAGAGGGCTTCCAGCAGAGGTTTAACCCCCTGATCAGGTGTCTGTCTGGAGGGTACTGGGAGAGGCCGCAGATCCTCTGCTTGACTGGTGAGATAAGAGAAAAATCAAGAAAAGACATGAAACATACATTTAATATTCAATCGTCTTTTAATAGCTGATATGAAGTGATTAATAAATGTTAAATTAGAAGAAAAAAAGAGCAAATTCAGTCTTAACCACGGTGATTTTTTTCTAATTCAGAAGATGGGGGCCTGCTGTCAACAACCGACAACGATTTTGCTGCAGCCGAAGATGATTTTGAGGCCACTAAAGCGACGCTGCAGTACTGGGACATCAGGTTCTAAAAGTCAGCCGTGCTCTTCTTGTCTTGCTTTCTCAAACTTTGTTACTGTAACATGACAGGGTGTAAAGAATCAGGTGCTTTTTACCAATGAACCAATCAAAACAGGATAAAAAAAACCCCACAGACGCACAAAAAGACACAAAGCAAAACTTCCCACCAGCCAATGAGAACAAGACTGAGTGCACAGGCAGGGAGATGAAACGCCCTATTTCTTGTCCTTTGTAATATTTTCTACCGTGTTTGGATAAGTATGCTTTAAATAGTTAGCAAAAAAAAAATCAAAAATTCTCCCAGTGATTCCCTGTTAAATCCCTTTGACTGAAAAGAAATAAATGTGTGAACTGTTTGTTACCAGGTCAGCTCTAAATCTATTTTTTCTCATTGTTATATCAAGAACCTTTTTAACAAAAATGGTGCTAAAGTCTTTGAGACATTTGTAAAGTATCCAGTAGAAATGTTTTGCTGTTCTTTGTGTCGTCTTCCTTCTTTGTCAAAGATTCCTAAAACTCCAAAGTGAACCTTCAACAAACGCTCAATAAATACTGTACATAGAGTCCTTTTCAAATGATGTCCGCATTTTCCAGAGAGAAACTTTTCGTGTCCGGCAGACGCAGTTTTGTTCGTCAGCTTTATGTTGTAATAAAGTTTTGTAGAACAGAGCAAAGAATAAAGCTTTCTCCTATTTCACCTTCAGTGCTGTGTGAGACTTCATGTCATGTATTGTATTTTCTGCCAGTGTGTTACCTGAAACTACAGTCGTGAGAAAGGAAAAGTACACCTCTGTCAGTTCTGAGATTGTCCGCATCAGGACATTAAAAAAATCATCTGGTCCTTAGCAGGTCTTAAATTGATTTAAATACAACCTCAGATGAACATCGTCACATGACATATTACAGTGTGTCAGTATTTATTTAAAAACTAAGCCAGAATGCAGAAGTAGTCTGTGAACATTGCAACACCTTAAATCATTCTGTTGGAGATTTGTTGCTGTGCTCGAGGTCACTGTCCTGCTGCATGACCCAGTTTGAGCTTTATTTGTCAGACAGATGGCCTCACAGTTTACTTTACAACACTGTGGTACACAGAGGAGCTCATGGTCGACTCACTGAATGCAAACAAGCCCAAATCATTAGCCCTCCACCACCGTGCTTCACAGTTATTTGTCTGTCATGGACTTTGATTTAACATGTTAAGTGAGGCCTTTGGGGTTTTTTTTCTTTTCTTGCACTATCTGACCTTGGGTTGAATTTTCTGAGACACCCACTGCAGGTAAGATATGATTATTTGTGTTATTACACACCAGTAAGAGTGTACTTGCAGTACAGGTGAACTTGGGGTGGGATTTTTCACATGCTGATTCTGTATCTTGGCTCAGTATTTGTTAAATACATAATGTAATGGTGAGTAATTTCATGTTTTTAGTTTCCTCATTACCTCGATTTTGACCTGTTGAGAAGAAGATGATTAATGTTCTAATTAATGTTCTAACATGTAAAACCTTTGAAATGAACGAGGGTGTACTTTGTTTTTCAAAATTGTATATTGGTTTTCTGCAGCGGCTGACACTCTGTTGTGTTTCTATGTGATTCCACTTTAGTAAGATATACTATAGACTGTGTTTTTAACTAGGTTTTTTTGTTAACATAAGGAAACTCTGAGGATAATATGGCTGCTCATTCTTTAGAAATAAATCACCTTCATATTTGCAGCTTACTGAATTGTGACCTGTTTCTCCTATACCATCACCAGAGAAAGAAAAAGAAAAAATATCAGTCAGTAAATCAAAAACTGGAGACAAGTTTTAAACAGGTGAGACTGAAATTTAATTAGTGACACTAATTTATGATACTACACAAATTCATTCATAAGCTAGACGAGTTTTCTTTAGACGAGATGATCATTTCAAAGAAATACAGATCAGTGAAGTTAAAAATGAGGGAAAGGCTGTTCTTAATACTCTTGATAAATTAGGTAAAGTCTAAGAAAAAATAACCAAGAAAAAGAAGAGCTCTTATTTTGAAATTTCCTCAGGGTTTAATGCGTATTTAGTGCACCCAGGAGTCATCTACTATAAATTTACTACATGAATGTTACTTTGTGGTATTTTAATTCAACACAGCTTTCTTCTGCCGTGTGAGCACTGCCGTGTACATAAACAGAATCAGTGTGACTCTCATTTTTATTTCACGCAGTTTAGTGAAGTTTTACTTGCAGCAGAGTAAAATAATCACAAAACATTGACAGCATTAACTGATATGAGGTGAATCCGGTTAGTTTAAACGTAGGTGGCTGCTAAAATCAGGGGGGGAGGGGGGTGATTGTATAGACGTTCCTATTGGTAATCGAGTGATCAATCTAAATGCTCATTGGCTACCAAAATGTGTGTCGTGGTTTCGGGTGGGAAAGTAAGGAAAATTGAGGAACAATAACAGCGAGAAAGTAAGTTTTAATGCATTTTTAATTTATTTTTTTAATTTTTTGTTTTATAGCGGATTAAAGTGTCAGTGAATCAAATGTGCAGTGATAATTGAGAAAGAGAAACTGAGTGTTTTCGGACGCTAGCATGTGCAGCGTTTCAAAGTAAAAGGTGAAAAGCGTCGAGAGAGCCATTTAAACGGGCAAACAGACATAATTGTAATTAATTAATTATTATTTACCGTAAGTATTATTGCAGATACACCAAGTTTCTATTTCTCGATTTGTAATTAATAATAATAAAGAATTTTAACCAAGCGGTATTTTTCAAAGCGATCAATCATAGCTCACGTGCTGCACGTTACAGTTTTTTTCTACCACCAGGTGGCAGCATTGTTCCACGATTTGTTGCACGTGAGAGACTAAATGGCAAACTGTCAGGAGACGACGATGGAGTGTTTAATGTCACAGCTGAGCACTTACAACAACAACAAAAAACGTGTCGCTGACTGCCATACTAATAACCAGAAAGGCTCAAATAAACACAGCTGCTATGAGACTCAGGCACTGCATTCTCAGTATTTGTTAAATCTTCTTCTACCTTGAATTTTCCACCACTTTCTTTCAAGTAAGTTTCTTGAAATAAAAGGAATAAAATCGTTTGCAGCTATAGAGAATAATCCATTTGGGAATTTCTAATCTGCAACCTACCGAGGTCATACCTCAGACTGCTGTGGATTATAATGCGTTCAGTTTAAAAATCTGTTTTATCTCCTTATTCTTGTATTTCCTTTAATTTACTGCTAGAAGGAGGCTGAAACTTCCAATTAATCTTCAGTGTAAGCCTGAACTCTGATTTATGCTAAAAACCTTTACTAATAAAAATTAATCAGTTCATTTAGGATGTTTAGCAGGAAAGTATAAAAGTATAGAATTGTCTTGGTGTGCCGTTCAACACAACGATACTCACCTGCTTTATTAATGTCAACACCTTTGTGTGTTTCAGTATATTTGTTACATCTTGGGATTATTTAAAAGCAAACATGTCTAAGCACAGACTTGGATATGTCTGCTCCACCTCTTCCAAGTGTTGAATTTTCTTTCTGTAACACGTGAAACACACATGTTGTATTTAACTTTCTTGCAGTTGTGTTTTTTAGATTTGCACCACTCTCTTGCACGTTGTCAGTCTTACTTTTTCCTCATCTTCAACTTTATATTTGTTTTTTATTTTCTTTGTCTTTTTTATCACTGCTGTGTATATATAAAAACTGCACGTCTCACATTATAAGCCCCTCACTATGCACTTGTGGCACTTATTTATTTTAAACTGTACTAGTTTTAATGTTTATTCCGCTGCTGTAACGCAATAATTTCCCCTGTGGGATCAATAAACTATCTATCTATCTATTTATATTGGATAGCTTGCCCTCAAGGAATCAGTAAAATCCCAGCGTAACCATTTATAATAAATCATAATTTATTTGGAGTTTAGATTTGCAGTTAAAGTACAATAATTAAAAGTAGAAAGTAGAAAGTTAGATAATAATAAAGTAAGATAAAAGTAGAGGTTTCAGCCACAACTGACGTAACTTTGAAAGAGTAGTTTTGTGTGAAGAAAAACAGGAATTGCTTTTCTTTCCCAGTACTTCCATTGATTTACTTCTGCTTGAAACAGTTCCTCATTAGTGCTGCTCACTGATCACACGTACAGGTCTGTAGTTGCCCCAGGCAGCTTCCCTGCTGTGCACTATATGTGTGTGCAGTTCAGGTCTGTACTATCTGAAGTGATCGAGGGGTGAAGCTGAATTCACAGAGCAGAGCTGATGAGAGTGGTGTCCCTGCCAGAGCAGGACCACAGTTCTCAGGCCCTGAATAGCCTCACACAGCTCGGCCTGAAAGCGGGAGGTCGGTATCCGTCCCCTTTGTCGTGGAGCCGATAACACCGTTCCGGACGGGAGCGCATTGTGGCCTGTGACCCCCGAGGTCATGGGGTGAGGGGAGAGTGAACAGAGGCCAGGCTTTAAGGACTGCTTATGGAGTTCCTCTTTCTTCCACGGGACGCGTGGCTCGCTAATTGAGGAACCACCTCCTCAAACCTCAAGTGTGAGGCGCTTGACGCCCAAAAGTGACTGCTGCAGAGAAGTGCAGGGAGAGGAGTGAAACAAAGGGACAAAAATTGAGTGAAGAGTACTTTTTGTGGCAGTTTTGCTCAGCTCCGTTACTATTTTTTACAATTATTGGTTATTTTTGGCATTTATAGGTAATATTTTAACCTTTAAAATATATACATGTAAGTTGAGTCTTGAAAACTCAGTATGAACTAAATATATGTGTTTCCTAAATGATTATAAAGCTCAGAAATTTGGGAAATCTCCACATTTTTAAAAGCTAAAAATAGAAAACGTTTGTACTGAAATTAACCCCCAAAATTAATGGTTTCTTTCCATCAGCCAATCAGCTACTAGTCAGAGTGAAACTATTTCCACAGGCAAATAAAATGTAATAATAAAAAAAAACCATTTACGTTAAAAATGAGACCATAAATATCAAAATAAAGAATTATTGCTCTTCAAATTTTCTCAA